ATTGTTTTTTTGTTCTAATACGTTACACATCCCTGATTATCAGGAATACTAGGTACTCATGCATATCGTCTCCTACGTAAATGCTCAGTAGTCATACTTGTCATCTCCTGGAAAATATTAAGCAGTCACGCATTTCCTCTTCCTGAGAAATACTCAGTAATCACGCATATCTTTTTTTAGTATTCGAAGCTTTTTTCATTCACAGTTATACTATCTTTCCACACAAAACAAATGCAAACGACTTGTTATTATTACCGAAACAAATTCAGTGAAAATACAATACTGTTAGTTTAATTTTCTTGTATCTCTGTTTTTTATATGCCTGACTAGTTTAGCGAAGCTTAATCTTAATAAGTAATATTATTTTAACATTGACAGTTTCTCTTATCACGCCAATTATAACAGTTAATCGGAGCTATCGATGAATAAAGCCTTATTGTTTAAACATGCAATAACGTATTTAGTTTTGGTTATCAATAAATAAAGCCTTGTTGTTTAAACCCGCAACAATGTATTTAGTTTTGGTTATCAATGAATAAAGCCTTATTGTTTAAACCTGCAACAATGTATTTAGTTTTGGTTATCAATGAATAAAGCCATATTGTTTAAACCTGCAACACTGTATTTAGTTTTGATTATCAATGAATAAAGCCTTGTTGTTTAAACCCGCAACAATGTATTTAGTTTTGATTATCAATGAATAAAGCCATATTGTTTAAACCTGCAACACTGTATTTAGTTTTGATTATCAATGAATAAAGATATTTTTCGTACTCTATCCGCTATTGCTTTTAAATATCAACAAAACTGTGTTATTCGAGACTACTGTAAACGCATACAATTTGATGAGTGAACAATGTATTTAGTTTTGGTTATCAATGAATAAATAGATTTTTCGTACTCTATCCGCTATTGCTTTTAAATATCAACAAAACTGTGTTATTCGAGACTACTGTAAACGCATACAATTTGATGAGTGAACAATGTATTTAGTTTGCGAATGCTTTAGTTCTTCACTTTAAGTCATGTATGCAATCTTTTACTTTGCTTTATTTATTAATCCTGCAAACTGTAATTATTCATACAAATGTCATGATATAGAATAGAAAAAAATGTGTGTTCAATGGATATAACGGAAATGACCGCTGGTAGTAAGAATATTCTAATTCAAGGTGTGTGTCAATGGATATAACGGAAATGGCCGCTGGTAGTAAGAATATTCTAATTCAAGGTGTGTGTCAATGGATATAACGGAAATGACCGCTGGTAGTAAGAATATTCTAATTCAAGGTGTGTGTCAATGGATATAACGGAAATGACCGCTGGTAGTAAGAATATTCTAATTCAAGGTGTGTGTCAATGGATATAACGGAAATGACCGCTGGTAGTAAGAATATTCTAATTCAAGGTGTGTGTCAATGGATATAACGGAAATGGCCGCTGGTAGTCAGAACTTATACAGGAATATTCTAATTCAAGGTTTTGAAGAATTTCAGGTGTTTTCAACAATAAAGCATAACATATATTTATGATTACAAAAAGATATCGTCGCTAAAAATGTACTTAAGTAACGAAATATAGACCTTTCATTTCATCAAAGTGTACGTACAGCCAAAAATCGTTCACCGTACATGCATTATGTGTTTTGACTCAACATAATTTTGAAATATAAATGAATATCTGATATTACAATTATTGAAATCGACTCACTCTTCATGTACGGGTTCAATAACACATTCGTTTCCTGGTTCTCACGCCTTTTCACATCATACATCAGTTCAGATCCTTTTACATTCTTACTTCTGCCTCCATTTTGTAACCTGCTAATTGGTTTCGGCCGTCGTTAATATCATGACAACGAATTCTGGTTATATAGAAAGAAATATGTCCAGTTTCTAACGTGTGTTCTGTATAAATTTTGTTTTCTGCTCTCCTTCTGAGCAAAAACACAAAACAAAAACAAGTTAGATATACATCATCGCACAAGGTTTAGCTCCTTTGAAATAACGCTAGTTAGTCCACGCCCTATCCATGTCTATAAAGACATTTCGTTTTCAGCTTTAAAGCAGCAATTAACATGCCCTATTCTATTGTTTGAAGGGTGTTGTTGCTTGTTATTGGGTATATATATATATTTGGGGGAAATAATTATTTCAGGGGGTTTTATTTATCATCCGATCCATTGTTGTTATAATTAAACATATAGGCCTCAGTTCTCATTAGCATATCCCGTAAGTAATGGTTTCAGATCGTTTTGATTTCGATCCAAATAGTTTGTCGCAAATATGAAAGTGTTTAAGCACAAATACTAAGATATTTTATAATAGTCCATAGAAAGCATATAATATTTAGATGATTAAAAAACAGCAAGCGATATCAAATGACAACTACTATACGATATCTAATTTTCTTGAACATCATGGACAAAACTGACTAATTCTAGAGGTTGTTTGCAACCGTATAATTAATGACTTTGTCATCTTTCATTTGGATAAACAACTCCAGATCCAACAACTAATATATGTCTACCAAGGAAGTATTAATAATAAAACTGATTTGCTTATATATATATGTATTGACTCTATATATAGAACCATTTTTGATATTAACACTTCCTTGGTAGACATATAGTTGTTGTTGGATTTGGAGTTGTTTACATATATATGTAGTGACTATATATGTAGAATCAGTTTTGTTATTAATAATATCCCGGTAGACATATATCTATTGTTGGATTTAGAGTTGTTTACATATACATATTGACTCTCTTTATATATAGACTTTGTTTTTTTTATTAATATTTCTCTGGTAGACATATAGCTGTTGTTGGATCTGGAGTTGTTTGACTCTATATATATAGCTTCCTTGGTAGACATATAGCTGTTGTTGGATCGAGAGCGTTAATATCAAAATTGATTCTTTCAACATGACACTGTGAATTACAGAAACCCTCCTTTCCTTACAAAGACTTTTTAATATATATGAGAATTTTGGAGATTATATTTGCGAGAATTATAAGGTTTTCATTTTTTTATCAATTTTGCTTACAGTGCAACATAGTTAGAAGAGGCCTAACATACAGTAACGTTTCTGACAATAACATAGTATAGTTATTATGGTGGTGAGTTTGAATATAATATCATCGACAGACCAGCCATTTTAAAGTTTGCTTTTTGAACTACAGAAATATTCTCGTGATACATCAGAGTTCAAGAAAAATTTCTAAAACTGGACAAATAACTTAGAGTATCCTCGTTTTCAGAAGAACGTGCACTCTTCTCAATGATTGCACGCAAAGTAAATATAAGGTTGTCCTGAAATACAGTGAACAGAGTTGTTTACTTATGTTTCAGAATCATTCAGGAATAAATTTTGATTATTTTGGAACGAAATTTCCGAACGTTCTACACATATAAACATATTTAATCTGTTTCAAGACTCTATTATATCAAGTGTAGAAGGCAAGCAAAGCATTGGGTATTTCGCCCACAAATTCAGTGTAAAAACTTATACACAACGCAAAGTGTGAAATCCCTTAAATTTGGACATAATTAAAATATCATAAACGCAACATTTGCTTAAACAACTATAAAAATAATTTAAAATTTTTTGGGTGTTATATATTTAAATAATAAACCAAAAATATCAGGTAAATTTGAGTACCAAAAAATATAAACGATAGACTTTAGATATATGTTGTTGAGGGTGGCGATTTTTTAGTGCAAGGCTACAATACGCTCTATCCACCGCGGGAATTGAACTCTAGATTCTTTGGCTAAATATTTGCATATTTAGTTTAAAATGATTGATTGGAATTAGGAGAAGTAAGCCATCATCCTGCTGTCACTGTCAAGATTAATTACTTGAGACAATATAAAGACTCACGATGGAGTAAAATCTAGTGACTTTCTCCATTTTAGACAACATTTTACGAAATTCTATTTTCATTTATACCTTTTCCTTCCAACCAGCGAATCTGTGGTGAAAAAGTTTTTGATAATTAGAAACGTCGACAAATAAATTAACACATTAGGCGAAAAAAAGACGCATAGAAATTCTAGTATTTTAGAGAGAACTTTAGATATTTATCTTCTTGCGAATATGTAAACTCCTTGTTTCGCTTTGAAACTTACAAGTTTAAGAAAAACTGAGGCAAGTCAAAATGAAAACCATAAGTTACTAAAACAACGCTAGAGAAATTTAACTTTACATTGGCTAGGAACACAACTATGACAGTTTCAAAGCGTATTCCGTATTCACAAGGAATAATCAACAGCATAAAGCCTGTGATTATAGTATTAGGATCAGCGATATTATGCATTATTTTCACAACTTACCTTAGAACTCAAGGCTGTTAGAATGTTTTTAACGGACATAAATTGCTCGAAATACAAGGGAAAAACTGGATGCCATTCTCTTTCTATCGAATTTTCCTAAACTACTAATAACTGTAGTAACCTTGGTTTAATGGGCTGGTTTCTGTAACTTGAGTTTTTGTCGAAGCGCTTGAATTGCGATTGAAAGTGATTGTGGCGCTGATGAGGTTGTGATTACGCAGAATAAACAACAAATTCTGAATTGTCGGACTTTGATATCAGAACTTTTAACTGATTTATTTGACACGACAGAAAAAGATTGTAGAGTTTTATAAGATTGTGATTTTTCCAGAATTACGCAGGAAAATCGGACGGTTTTTAAGTGTCGGGCTGTTGGATTGGAAATTTTAATTGATTTATTCAAGTAGTTTCAACCTATTCGATATGCAATAAAGAGGATGAGTATTCATGTTTCAAATATAACATTAAAATAATTCGTTTTTCTTCCCTTTTAGAAGTTAATCGCGCAACAAAATGAATTACAGCAGAAATAACGCCAAGATGCAGCAACTAAATGACTTAAACACTTTGAAGAATTAAGTTAGATTGATGTATGCATAGACCAAAGTACATGATTATATAAATTCATGTTAATTAAGGCTCAGATTCAAATAAATTGTTTACCTTCTCTGCAAATCAGACTGCAGTCGATGGAGAGGGGTGTTACTGGAAATTACTACGTCACAATGTGGCTGCAGTGTTAAGGAAAACAAGATGGCGGATTAAGTTGAACGTTGTCTCTCAACAAAGGGCATAAGGTTGTTTATGTCGGAAATGTGTTATTTGTCACAACACAGAATAAAATATTATGATTTTTTCACTCGCACTATTACTAATTAGCCTCATTAATCTTTGGTGGAAAAAACTTATAGGATGGACGGGAATTTAAATTTTCCTGTTGAAGTTAAGGTCATCATTAAAACGGAAGAACAAGGTAGCCATCCCAGTCTAAGAAAACTACCAATGTGGTTGGTGGCGCTGCTATTACCGCGGCTACTTTAAATGTGAGTGATGGCAGCATATCCAATGCGAATAGAGGGAGGTTCCACAAGTATAAACAACAACTTTATCATCAAATAAGCGAAGTGAACGAAGTTTTCACTTGATGAAATGTTGCGTAAACTATTCAAAGATCTTCTTTCAAGGATTTAGAAGATACTTCTTTCTCTTTCATCAGAATCACCTCCGAAGAAGACAACGTCACGTTTTTGGCAAAGAAATCCTGAAAAAAATGAATCTCTTAATTACAGGTGAGTGACATTCGTTTTTGGAATAAGATACATGCTTCAAATGCGTAATGAATTGAACCCCTAGGACTAAAGTTACGAAAAATCCATGAAAACTCGGATGCCAATAGATAAATCAGTTAAAAATTGGTCCCAGGTTAAGAATTCGCTTCGAGACATCTAGAATAGATCCAATTATACTTAATATTAGCAAGATCATAACTGGGGAAAAGTGCTTTTTCTTTAACAGAAATTGGCCGAAATCAGTGTTAACCGTGTCAGTCATGCTCTTAATTAACAGTAGTAAAATGCCCTCTTCCCTTTTCAATTTTTGTTTTACAAGTGTGTTTGTCTTTGAAGTGAATGATTTATGTTTAGAATCATAAGTTGGTTTTTTTTGCATGGAATATGTCTTCCTATGATAACTACAAAAAGTGGATCTAAGCGATCCAAAACAACTAGTGTAAAATAGACTCCGATGAAATATTAAATGTAACATTTGTGTTGCGTTTTGCAGTAAAAAAAAGGGATAAAAACTGCAATACCTGGATCCATCGTTATCTAAAACCGAGCACAAAAACAACAACAAAGAAAGAGCAACATGAAACTAGAGGCAGTAAGTGCAAAGAACAATGTAATTTTCTTAAAACGTTTCTTGCTTCTTGATTTTCACACAGAGAACCTGCAGAAATAAACACAATAATATTTACTCATTATCATCGCAGAACATGCATATGCGTAGCAACTTACGTCAAAAAAATATCTGTTACACATTTTTTAATCAGTATTCTTCATTAACTATTTGAACATTCTGTGGGGAAATCATTCACAATGGTCTTGCCCTATGTTTTCTTCAAGCCAAATAGTAATTCCCATGTAGGCCTAACCATCAGTTTGTATAATACAAGAACATGTTGTTAGATGAGTACGTATGTTTCAATATACGTCTATAAAACAAAGAAATGAAACTCAAAAGTACCTTAACGACTTAACCTATCTTTAGTTTTGTTTGTAAGGATTCATTTCACAAACACACACATACTCATAGTAATAATTGTAATTAAGTAGGTGTCAAATAAGTACCTCAAAAAAGGTCGTATTTTATCACATTTTCATAAACGAGTCGGATTCCTTGGGATGATCTTGTAAGGGGAAATCTTCGCATACAGTGTTAAACTGGTTCCTAAGCCCCACCGAGAACTATAGAAAAACAAATAAATAAATATATATTTATACAATTAATTTAATTACTAGTATATATATATATGTGCCACCATTTTTAAATGTATTTGTTTTAAAATCTATAAATCCAAAAGTGATTTGATTTGGTACTTTTTTTTAGTACTCAGGTAGTATGTGTTTCTATCTTTATAAGGTTGCTGTTAAATTATACGATGTTACAGTGAAATAAAACTCTAGCATTGTTACCACATACACGTCAGCAATGAATGAAACATGCTTCTCGAGCGAGCACAAAATAGTGAACAGTTCAGGTATAAGCATGAGTTGCGCTAATATTATTAGTCACAATTCTAAGTATACTGCATTTCTATTTAAGTAACGTTTCGCTTGCGACACAAAATGTCAAGTTTTTAAACGCAGAAATTAAATCAACTTATCTTATAGCTTATGATAGTGATTTTAATGTTACTTCATATACACTTTCTCAGGTGGAATATTCCATTGTTCAAAAATACGTATAATGATCATTAGATAACTGAAATAATGAACCAGTTCGTCCTTATAGTCAAAACGTATAATGATCATTAGATAACTGAAATAATGAACCAGTTCGTCCTTATAGTCAATACGTATAACCATCATTAGATACTGAAATAATGAACCAGTTCGTCCTTATAGTCAATACGTATAATGATCATTAGATAACTGAAATAATGAACCAGTTCGTCCTTATAGTCAATACGTATAATGATACATAAGATAACTGTAAATAATGAACCAGTTCGTCCTTACTAGTCTAATACGTATAATGATAC